ATACTGTAAACAAATACTGTAAACTTTTAAATATATGTCAGGAATTAAGAAGATGCATTTTAGTTTCCCGTTTAAACGATGAAATGCTTTTTTGGTCTTTAATATTTTTATTTTGGAAATGATTCCATATTGGTGGGCCACGGTATGTAATTAAAATTTTTAATTTTCCCTAAGTGATAGTTGTACGTGGTATTTGAACGCAAATTATATTTTTCAAAAAACGATCTCAAGAAAATATTTGAAAAAACGCTAGGTAGGAGATTCTTATACTTATACATAAAAATCAATATCTGTAATGTGTTAAGCTTCTCAATATCTCGAACCATCATGCTTTTCATCGCTGGGGCCGGGTTTACTAACCTATTTAAATAGTTTATTACTTTGCATGTATGGTTTTGCAGGCTTTACAATTTTAGCAGTTTTGTTTTATGGGTGCTGGCTTATACAATATTTGCGTACAAAAGTTGATTATGTACAAGACTAAAGTTGAGCATATTACGCGATTTACTATCGAGAAAAGGTCTCAACTTATACAAAACGCCTATTACAGAGGACAAAAATTTTGTACATTTTTCACGTTTGATTTCATTTTTATTAATAAGCAGTTTAGGAAGCTTTAAAGGGAGATTATTTGATTGTTTTTTTTTTTATGAAAAAAGGTAAAACTAGTTTTTTGACAATTTACGGATAATTTATTTGCTATAAACCAGAGGTTGAATTTTTCAAGTTCAATATTCATAGTTTCAATCAAAGTCTTTGCATTAGGATGATTAAAAAATAAATTTGTATCGTCAGTATACATAATAGTAGATATTTTTTGGGATGCTTTATGCATATCTTTAATATAAATTAAGAACAATAGTGGACCTAGGATTGAACCCTGAGGAACTCCACACGTAATATCGAGGGCTCTTGACTTTTTTAGTAATACAAATTGCTTTCTGTTAGACAAATAGCTTTGAATCCATTTAAATGTTGAGCTTATTATACCGTAATATTTTAGCTTGGAAAGTAAAATACTGTGATCAACCGTATGTCTTGGAAAGATCAACAAACACTCCTAATACCAGCTCATCACAATCAAACGACTTAAATATTTTGTCAGCAAGTTTAATAATAGCATGTTCAGTAGAACAGCATGTTCAGTAGAACACTTACTTTGAAATCCAAACTGATTTTTGTATAATAAATTGTTTTATGTAAAGTAATTGTTAACTCTGTTATTAATTATTCTTTCAAATACTTTTGAAAGTACTAGAAGAAGAGAAATAGGTCGGAGTTGAAAACATTATTGCAATCACCTTTTTTGAGAACTGGATTAATTTTGGCTAATTTAAGTTTGTTAAGGAGTATACTATTTTTAAATTAAATTAAATAAAGGTTTACTAATGCTGTCCATTATATAAATAGCTACATTACTAGAAATACCATCATATCTACATGACTTGTTGCGCTTAAGTTCAATAATTGCTTTATTAAATTTAAGTTTAATTGTTTTTTCATTATTTATACTAGTGGTCGGTTTTTCTCCCAAAAAATTATCAAATGTTTTATTTGGCTGCACAATGTTAGAAGCAAGAGAGGGGCCTAAATTAACAAAATATTTGTTAAATTCTTGACATATTTTTGTTGTACTTTTTATAATTTTTTTTATCGGAAATTAGTTTTTGTAATAAGCAATTGTGCTTCTTTTTCTCTTTTCCTGTTACTTCGTTTATAACAGCCCAAGTCCTCATTACGTCGAAAATATGCTTGTCAAGCTGATTAGAAAAATACCTTGTTTTTTCTTCTTTCATACTATGCTGAAAAAACTTTTTATAATTTTTGTATATTTTTTCATCTTCTTTATTTTTTGATTTCAAAAATGTTACGTAAAGTTTCTTTTTGATGCTTTAATTAAAGTTATTGTCATCCATGGATTCTTATATATTTTGTTTTTTATTTCTGTAGTTATTTTTGGGCATACATTATCAATGATATTTTGAAATGTGCTTGCGAAATAGTCAAACGCAATGTTAGGATCTGTTGATGAGTAAACTTTATCCCATTGTTCTACTTAACATTGTACTCTTTGTTCAGCAATTTGTTTTTAAAATTATTCACGTTTTTCATAGAAAGATTTCTGCAAGTCATAAAGCATTTTTTATTGTCGATATTAGATAGTACTTCGCGTGCAATATGGAAAACGGGAAAATGATCAGAAAAATCTACAATAAATACTAAATTTAAATTTAGTATTCATGGAACAGTTTGTTAAAATATTGTCAATCACAGAAGATGATTGGTTAGTAATGCGCGTGGGCTTAAATATATTAAATTCAAATAGTAAATTGAAAAAGTTTTTTATGTTTGCAAACTTTTCATAACTTAATGCGTCCATATTTGTATCCGGCAAAAAAAAACGTGCTTGTTTTGTTTACTCATTTGAGACAAAGATATTAAGGAAGTTAACTTTTTTACCACATGGCGGTCGATATAAGGGTGCGTTTCCACTCATCCGTTTTTTCACGGGAACGGGATAGGGAAGGAAAAAATAATCACGTGAGCATGCGTAGTTTTTCTTTGGACATATTAAAACTTATACTACGCATGCCCACGTAATTATTTTTCCCGTTCCCGTGAAAAAACGGATGAGTGGAAACTCGCCTTAATGAGGAGATTAACAACAATATATAAAAAGTATTTAACACTTCAATTCACATAGTTTCAATATGTTTATTTGTTTTTAAAAATGTATTTTTTTTATAAATTCAAATTTTTTTTTTTTTTTTTTTTTTTTTTTTTTTTTTTACAACTTCAATATACACTTCATTACGTTACAATTCTATCATATAATTTAATGCAAAGAGTAAAATATATAACATAACATAAGAATACGTAATTTAACAATTATAATAAAATATAACGTTAGATTAATAAACACTGTTTTTTTTTTTTAAATAAAAACTATTGTTTCTTCAAATATAAACATGTTGTTGTAAAGGAGACTCGCAGAAGACTATGAAGTCTTATCATCAAGTACCTTTTCAAATGGTTAAACAAATTTAATTAATTTTTATATATAGTTAAAAGTGGTTAAACAATACACAGTCAGTGATACACATAAACATTTTAGTATAAATCTTGTTGTTAAGTTTAATACATGTCAATAAAATTTTTGATATTAAGTATGAGGTGTTTTAATTTTTTTTTCAATTTATCAAGAATATACACTGCAACGCCACCTCCCTTGCTGTTTACACGTGGTTGACTTATTTTATATGAAACTAAATTGTATAGGGAATTTTTTGACATTTTGCATCTTCCCAAGTTTCTGATATTACGTCAAAATGATAATTTAAAGAATAATAAAAATTTTTGTTCATCGACCATATATATTGATACTTATATTTTAATAAAACATTTATACTTAAAATGTTTAAATCTTTGTTAAGTTATATATATATATATATATATATATATATATATATATATATATATATATATATATATATATATATATATATATATATATATATATATATATAACTTAACAAAGATTTAAACATTTTAAGGATAAATATTTTATTATAATATATATATATTTATATATATATAATATATATATATATATATATATATATATAAATTTAATATATTTAAAAGATGATATATATATATATATATACACATATATATATATATATATATATATATATATATATATATATATATATATATATATATATATATATATATATATATATATATATATATATATATATATATATATATACACACAAAAACTTATATTTAAGTCTTAAGAATTAATTTTTATTTTTGTTTTCAAATTTTTTTTAAGCATTATGTCTGATTATTTAACTTTTGTATTTTTAAATATTATATCTTCTTTTTTTAAAATATTTGAGGGTGTTTGTACTTTGAAAAGATTAGGTTGGTATATTGCCATCCATATCTTCTTTGAGCTCTCGTCTGTTTATTATTTACACATTTGTAACTATAATATATTTTTTGCGAAAGAGTATCGTAATTTATATAAACATTAAGATAAAATAATATATATATATATATATATATATATATATATATATTTTTCACACTTTATAAGAATTTTTCACACTTCATAAGAATATGAAAAAATACATTTAAAAAATGATTACATAGGCGGAGTGTAATAGCGTATAAAAGCGAATAGGGCGTTAAAACAAAGGGTATAGAGCATTAAAAGGCACAATCAAATTTTATATTTATATATACATATAATAAACATTGTGCATTTTTTCACTCTTAATTATTATTTACTACAAGAGCTTTTACATTACGCGTATGAACTCGTTTTTAAACGTATCTATTCATATTTACATATATTTTATATGTAAATATGAATGAAATATGAAACACAAACATATAAATGGTTTTAATTCTAAATATAAAATGGTTATAATAAACTTATATAAAGCAAAATCAATGCCTTTAATTACGGAAAAAATCTCATGAAAAACTGTTTCTTTTAAGCATGCATTCCCAGCAGGAGATATTAGGCTCTTTTACGCGGCGACTTCTATTTAACTTAATGGACTATTTTGATTTTTTATTTTAAATAAGACTCTGCGAGGGAAAACTTATGATCTTTTTTGTTTTGTTTGTGAATTTTTGCCTAATTTATGGACGATGCCTTATCGGAACTGTAAGAAAAACTGTATTGTATTTTATTTTTGTACTTTTTAATAAAAAAATAATCACAAAAAACGGCGTAATTTGAATCCATGAAACGAGGTGCTGTTAATAAACATTAACAAAACTATACATTTTTTCAATGATAAAATTATTAGAGCAGTATATAAAACATTTGGGTTAAAAACAACAGCAACAAAAAACGCAATTTTAAAATTTTTGAAAGCAATGGTCACAAAAATAGCATCTTTAGCCTTAATCCGTTTTTAAGAGGGTTTTCTTAATAGCGTAATAGCTAATACTTAGGTAAAATAAAACAATATATATTATATGACATATTAAAAGATTTCTTTTCTTTCAAAATTAGAATACTTGTCTTCATTAATTATTTTTTTGGATTTCTATTTATTATACAAGTGATTGTTTCTCAAGTGTTGGCTAGTTGTTCGTACGAAAGTTTTTTTGCTCACACAAAACAAACAATTACAAAAATGGTTTCAATTGTAAAGCTAAATTTGGTATTAACATGGAAGCTAATTTTATATAGAAAGTAGCGGAATTCCTATGCAAGTAGTTATTTTCGCTTTTTATAGAAAGTAGTGAAGTTCAGTACGTAAATAATTATTTTCTCCTTCATTTGGTACAGATGGATAGCCAGCAACAAGAGCATCCTTTAAAGAAATGTAATTTTAGTAAACTTTAAAAATAAAACAACAAAACAAAAAAAAATTAAAAAATAAACATATAATATATATCTAAACAATTTTTAAAAAACTGAAATAAAAATGATTACAATAACATAAAATAGATTACAATAACCGGAAACAGCTCAGAGATTAGAGATTTTTCCCGATTTCTGAATGTTTTTAGTTTATGAAATGAACAAAGTATTTATCAAATGATTTATTAAGTATTTATCAAATGAAGCAAAGTCAAATCCAACGAATTGTAAAAAATTGTGTCGTGTTTTAAAAAATAAATCGAATTACCTGAGATGCAATATATAAGCCATTATAAATTTTCCAATATACATCGCGAACTTTTCTTGCAGGATGAAATAAACCCTAAAAAATTAAAAAAATTACATTTATCTTAATTTATCAGTTACAATAAGTTATAAAAATCAATGATAAAAAAAAAAATAATAAAAAAAATTCACAAAGTTTAAAAATTTAAAACTGTTAACTTGCCTGCAAAACATATTGCAAAAGCCGAAGAGGCCCCAAGCCTACTCTCATGCCTTCAATGGCTTCAATCACCGCATTAATAACATGTGGCGATGTCTCAAAAACATTAGGCCAAACATAGTTCATTAAATGAGTTAAAGAATCTTCACAACCGAAGCCACACACACCAATAGCCATATGCTTAATTGCAGCACAAGCTGTTTGTCGATGAACTAAATCTCGATCCATTAGTGCATCTTCAAGTAAAGGAGTTACTGCATATATATAATCTTTCCCCATTTCTCCTATATACTCAAATAAAAACGAAAGCGATTTTAAAACACCATTTTGTACATTTAGCTCTGGAACTCTGTATTCGTTCATTAGAGCGGGTAAGACAGTAAATGGAGAGCATGTTTCAGCAACAATTGCTATAGCAACAGTTGTACACACACGATTTTGGCGTTCTTGTACTTTTAAGTTATTCAATAATGTAGCAAGTACATCTTGTGGACTAAAAACATGAAAAATGTCAACAAACTTTTTAAGAATATTAAAAACCCAATACTTATAGAAAAATTTTACAAATTATACCCTATAGCTTTTGCTATATATCCAAATGTATTAACTGTAGCTCGTCGTATAGCTTTTTTATGAGCTTTTAGTAATTCTAGAAGTTCAAAACATATTCTCATCCATTCTCTAGCAGATACATGCTCAGCACCTCTATCAGCTATTCTTCCAACTAAGTCAATGCAGTTTTCCTGAACCTTTTCATGTCTAAATTATAATAACATAAGCAAAAAGTTGTTATTTACAAAAAATTTAATCTAAAAAGACCACTAAGTCTTATATTTGGCAGCATTATTAAAATAATTTTTAAATTATTAAAATAAAGACAAATCATGCTAGAAAAACACGATAACTTCTAAATAGGAAAAGAATAACCCCAAAATATTAAAACCTATAAAATTATTTGATTTTTTTTTTTAAATAATCTTAAATTTTTTTATAGCAAATTAATATTTTTATATTCTGATTTTTAATAATTGAGTAAAAAAGAAACAAACAGTGAAATCCCTTCTTTGTGAAAAAAATTAGGTAAGTGATTGGTGCGGCAGATAAGTACCATGAAAGTTTCTTTTTTTTCTTTCTCGCAAATAGTTCTTTGACTTCGTATATCAATACTAAACTGTTATTATTGATATGCATCAATGTATACAGTTTAGAAAGAGTTTAAAAGATTGCTTTTTATGCACAAATTTCAGTTCTTTTACAATAAATACACCTATACATTTGAGATGTACAGGTTTTCTGAAGGTAAACTTGCTGTCGTTAATGTCTTAAAGTGTTTTTCCAAAATCAAAAGGAAAGTATATCACAACAGAACAACAAAAAAATTATGATGTTTACATTTACAACTTTTTTTCTTTAAAAAGATTCTTTTATTATATATCTTGCGTTTTATTTGTTATACATAAATGTTGTCCTTTTAAAAATTTTATACGAGTTCTTTGCTTATTAAGTATATAAACTTTGAGTTTCTATGTATTAACTCATCTATGTATTAAGTATATAAACTTTGTGTTTCTGTTAAATTATTAGTTTAAGATCATTGTTGAATTCATGGTGTATGAATTCTATAAGATATGGTTATAAAATTAATTTTCCTTAAGAGTTGATTTGCCATTTTTTGATAAACCTATGTTCACAAATATTAAAAAATAACAGAAAGATTAAAAAACAAAACAATATGATTAAATTAATGAAGAAATAAAGTAATAATAAATTTTTTGATAAAGTATGAAATGGAATAAATGAAATTAAATGAATAAAAAGAAAAAAGATACCGGGAAGAAGTTTATAAAGTTTAGCCGTAAAGCTATTTGCTGGTAACTCATCAAGAAATTATGATTATATTAAATCTAAATTGTCGATGTTGTTAGAAACCTCAATAGATACAATCTAAATTTAAAAATTTAGATTATCTTGAATGTCTTCTAAAGATGTTATTCAATAGATATCACCTTAATATATAAATTTAAAAACTCGTTGGATTTATTTTTAAAGCCAGATAAAACTGTGCTTCCAATTTTATCTGGCTTAAAAATTAATCAGTGTAGTATGGCTTACAAGTGAGTCAACTTTTGAACTATGGAATATATTGAACAAAAATTGCTGAAGCTAAAATTAATAAAATCTGCAAACATTTAAGTATAAAAACAATGTACATATATTCACATTAAATTTTTTGTGAATTATTGTGCATTTTATAATTTTGTGAGCATGACAAATTTTTTTATTTGATCCGCATGTTCATTAAAGAAATTTCTTTAATCATTTTGCGACTATCTCTGTTAAAGTTTCAATATCATAATTGTTTTATTTGGAAAAAACAACACAGCATTTAGAATTAGTGTCATTTATTGATTTATATTTAGGAGTTCATCATATTTAATAATCAAAATGTTTAAAAATAAAAATAAAAAAATAAACAACTAAGTTAAAAAATAATTAATAAGCATTTTATTTATAACATACAATATTAAGTCTACTATTAACATATAGTATTAAGTATAAAAAAAATTTATAACAATAATATTTTAATAATATAGCATTTTAAAAACTAGATTAATCTTCATAGAAACAAATTAAAATATAAAAACATATAATATTATAAAAATATAGAACATAATATATATTTAAATTAAAATTACATGTATTTAAACTTGAATAAAATAGAAAAAATTAGTACCTGTTTTTAAGAATCGGAGTAAGACGGGGCAATAAATCTTTAATAGGCGGAGTCATTTTATTCATACCAATCACATTTACAATTGACTAAATAAATAAGGATATTTATACAACATATAAATGCCATAGATAAAAAAATGGTTAAACTCAAGATATCCTTTTACCTTCAAAGCTCCTAAAATACTTCCAAGAACTTCAGGGTATTCTTCACCGAGGTATTCATACAAAACAACACCTAAATGGCCCATAAGTTTTTCCTAAATATTACAGAATAACAGTTTAATAAAGCACAAAAACAACTCAAGTGATAAATAAACCATAAACAGAATAACAAATTATTCTGTAACATAAATGTGCGTATATATATATACATACACACACTTTGGTATTTTTTACTCTACTTTTTTTTGTAAAAAAAACATATGGATTTAGGCTGGCAAAATAATTAATAAGTGTGATTATATCCACTATTGTAAATATATACATAAAAACAACCTCAGAATTAAAAAAAATAAGGTCGGCAATAATTTGCTGACCTCAATTTTTTAGAGGTTGGCATCAGGTCGGCAAAAAAAAAAAATTGATACAAAGGTCTTACCATAAAACATTGAAATGAGATCGGCAATTTTTTGCCAATATTAGATGCTTTGAGGTCAGCAGTTAGGTCGGCATTGCCGAATGCCGATACTAATTCCGAGGGTTGCAAAAGACATGAAAATAATTTAAAACATAAAAAATTTTTAAACTGTATTAATATCATATTTATAAATACCTCGCCACATAGTTTCATGACATATGATATTCGTGCAATAAGATCAGCAGCCTGTTGACGGACTTTGGCTGATTTATTGTTTAAACGCCATAATATAGTACCACATATTTGTGGGAGATATGGTTTGGTCCGCGCACCAAAAGCATTAACTACTGTTCCAAATCCATTTAGCATGACTACATCCTATAAAAAATGTTGACACAATCTAATATATACATTAAAAACATATACATAAACATATATACTAAATCTAAAAACATTAAATATATAACAAATTTAGAAAACTCTAAACTTTTTTTTGGTTTCATCAAGCAGTCAAGCATCAATATTATCAAAAATAATTTAATTTTGATTAGTTCTTACAAAATGGTCTCATAATTTTTTTTTTTTTTCCAGGCTTATAAGCAGAAAAATGAATTATACACGAAAAAAAAAAAAGATTAGTTAGTATTCTACACATAACAAACCCAGGAAAAGCATGCCATTTTTTGTCTTGTATGTCTGCATGTGAGTATTATATTTTAAACAACTTGGTCACAACCGTTTGCAAGCTATTTATATTAAGCATTGCAGAAAAAACTAAGTTTAAAAAACAAAAAAAGGCGAAACTGACAAAATAGGAAATTAAAATAAATTTAAATAATAAAAAATAAATAATTAGAGTTTCTCTTTCGACAGGATTGCTAAATCAACAAGACGTTGTTTCCCCATTGAAGCTTGTAGATATGAAAGAATAAGCTTCTACTTACTGAAGGAACGTTCGCAACTGACTATTGATACTGCAATTGTGAATAAGATTTGTAATGCATGCGTAAGTTTGAAAAAAAATCATCTCTGTATGACAAAATAGATAAAAGTAAATCCAGCGAAGTTGTTGTTATTGGGCCCCCACAAGATTTAAGCAGCATCTGACAGTCTGCCATTTCAGTAAATAATTCTGCTCCACTGATATCTGTACTTTAAATGTTTCCCAGATCCAAACATCTTGTTATAAAACTTTCTTGATTTTCATCACTATCCCTTGTAGCAATATTCTCAAATTGAGCAAGAACCCAAATTTTTCATTAAGATCATTTAATCGTCTAAAGCAAGTTATTAGTTCTTCAGCAGAGAGACCACTATCTCCAGCCCTTTAACCTTTTTTTGTTGGATCTGAGTTGTGAATTTATTTATTTTTTAAATTTTTTTCCTTTAACTTGTTTGTCGGCTATATCAGGTAGAACACAACTAGTCGAATCAAGAGATAATATCAATGAAAAGTTTTTAGCAAACAATTCAGCTTTATTTTTAGGTGAGGTGACAAAATCTGAATCATACAAGAGTGGCGGAATAACAGATTTGCCTTTATTGATGCTGTTAAAGATTCTCACAAGAGTTGTGACATCTGGAGAAAACTGGTTTTTAAGATGAAATACAAGATTTCGTGACCTGAGAATAGCGGGCTTTGGCCTTAATCAAAATCTTTTTACAATGGTTTCTAGCAATAGTGAACAGACATCTGTTTTCTGGAGAATTGTTTTGCTAATAGATATGGAAGTAATGGTTTCAATTGGAAATTGCAGCAGCACAATAAGAGGAAAACGGAGAAGAGTGAGGCTCAATTTAAAATCATCGAGAGGGAATAAAAACACCTAAGGTGAATGTAAGGTGAATGTGGAGAAACACCGAAGGGTGAATGTGGAGAGCACTGACTAGGATCAGAAACTGAGCACTGACTAGGATCAGACACAACACATAAGTACATAAAAGAATTGTCGGTGGATTCAAACCTAGTTTCCCAACAAATAAGTGAATTTTTATGAATGTAAATGCCCAGAACAAGCATGTGACTATTTGAGTCTTTACGAATTAAAAGAAGATAATCATCAACACTAAGATCACAAGATGAGACAGCCAAATTATTCAAAGCAGAACTCAAATTATTCAAAAGCTGAACTCAAATTACTTAAACTCAAAGAATTCAAGCATAAGAAGAATTAAATATAACTACATAATAAAAAAAGTTATACATAGTATACATACATGTATTACATAGATATTTTTATACAATATTGAAGGGTTGATTTTAAAAAATTGTATGTCTAAATTAGGGCTATATTGAATTATGTATGTTGAAATATTGATCTCTGCACCCTCTACCGTCTACTAAATTATATGAAGTAGAAGAGATATGGATTTTAAGTTATTCAATAAAAACCTAATGTTTCATGTCCATCTTATTGTTTTTTTTTCTCAATAAACAAGCATAGTCACATGTTTGATGAATGGAGATAAATACAAATATTATACACAGAAATGTTGAAGCAATAAAATAACACAACAATTATAATGTTTTTAAATATTTGAATTTGTAAATGAGTTTAAACATTTAAAATCATTTTTCTCACAACTAAAATCTAAAATGGACATGCTTTACAATTAACCCATCGATATATATTTGCTACATTAAAATTATACAAATATATTTTATAAATGGATGGCAATTTATATTTTCGCTTTTGTCTTTTAAAAATAAACAAATAAAATATAGGAAATTTTTTCTTTTTTTAATGTCAACTGTTTTTTTTTTTGCTCTGCCTTGTCAAATTTTGTTGCTGAAAATAACAACCACTCTAAAGAAACAAAAATAAAAACAGTGGAAAAATTATTTAAATTATTAATTTTTTTTTTTCTATTAAATTTATTTTAATTTCCTATTTGTTAGTTTTGCTTTCTTTGTTTTTGAAACTTTTTTACGCAACACTTAATATAATAAAACTTACAAACCGCCATGACCAAGTTGTCTAAAATAAAATAATCATGCGTGGACATACAAGACTAAAAATCATGTGTTTCCTGGGAAGACTTGCATAATAATTGACTATATATTAACTATATATATAGTAATATATTGAGTAAAATTGTTTCAAATTTTTAAATGCTTTATGAACCATATTAAGTCTACTGGAAACTTCTGTTTAGGAACTATCACTTTATAATGAAGAAAAACATAAAAAACTGTATGAATGTCTGTATGAATGCGTTAAACGATAAAAATAATCAGCCAAACATGAGCTTAATAAACATGTGCTAACTAGACACTAGCTAATCGGTATCATGTAAGTTGATACCAAGAACAATGGTCTTGTATTGTGTGGTATTGCATATATACTAATGTTGAAACCTTCGGTATTGGTTTGATACCACACGATATCAAGAAAAAGAAAAAAAAAAAAAATTAAAAGTGACCTTTTAAAGTTATTATAAAAAAAAAATACAAGTAAGATTGCTTTTTACCACAGTAGCACAGTTCTGCTATAACTAAATATAGATTATTGTAAAATTTATATTTTATTGTAACCTGCTTTCAATCTTGGGGGATGTAATCAGTGCTACAAATAATGCATTGTTTGTTAAAACTTGTTTGGTGCAGTAGGTATATTATATAAAAAGATATTAAAATTATTTTTAAAATATTTTTTATTGTCCCACTTCTCCCAACTCTCCTTTATATCTCAGTTATTATATAAATTTATTATTTCAAATTACTAATCCTTTACATCTCAGTTATTATATAAATTTATTATTTCAAATTACTAATCCTTTACATCTCAGTTATTATATAAATTTATTATTTCAAATTACTAATCCTATATATCTCAATTATTATATAAATTTATTATTTCAAATTACTAATCCTTTACATCTCAGTTATTATATAAATTTATTATTTCAAATTACTAATCCTTTACATCTCAGTTATTATATAAATTTATTATTTCAAATTACTAATCCTTTACATCTCAGTTATTATATAAATTTATTATTTCAAATTACTAATCCTTTACATCTCAGTTATTATATAAATTTATTATTTCAAATTACTAATCCTTTATATAAATAAAATGCAAATTCTTTTTAAGACCCGAGCTGCAATACTAAATGATACTACTGGTATAAGTATTGGTACCAAATGATACCAACATAATCAATACTTTCTATACCATTTTTGTTCGATCTCAATATATTGATACTGTTAGGTATCACAATAATGCAAAATGATACCAACATAACCTAAACTTTTAATACCAGTATTTTTTATGCCATTAATGCCTAACCAAGACTTGATAGTAATTATCTAGTGATAATGCATCAAAAATATTTTTATAGAAACAGACAAAACTTTCTGGTCAACCTAATATTACTAAAATCAAAATGAAAAAAAAAAAAATCCTTAGAATAATCTTTTGTTTTTTGTTTTTTGGTCTGAGCCCAAAACAAAAAATTGAACTAATTCAAAAATAAATTTAAGAAATTTTTTGGCTACATTAAAATTCAATTTATTATGTATTCTATATATTTAATGTTATGATCTATTTATTTTTAATAATTAATTGAGTTCAAAAAATAATTCTTGTAAACTGAAAATGTTTAACAAAAAAATTTTATTTTAAGGCTATTTATTTAAGACTATTTACTCATAAACTTTATTAAGACTATTTACTCATAAACTAAGTTAACAAAGTTAAGATTAAAATTAGTAAATGTAAATAGTTAAAATTAAAACAAAGATAAAAAATTATTGACAAAGATTTATTTTTTGTTCACTGGATCTCTTAGTAGTTTGATGCAAAAAATAATAATTCTACACACAACAGTCATACAAGATAAAAGAGTAGTGAAATTAAATACAGTGATATTAAACGCAGTGACATTAAACACGACAATATCAATCATAAAAGATTGGTTACACCACCAAAAAACTTGAAATAAGAAACGACAATGTCTATTGAAATTTATTAATGAGTACAAGATAAATAAATCAAAAAAAGTTTCTTACAAGTTTTAATTGTATACAAATATTTAACATAATTAAAGCAGGAGGATATGAGAAAAAAACTTTATAATGTATTCATTGAACTTCAAAATATAATTGACTTTAAAATAAAAATATTTATTTTTAATAACAATAGTCTTCAATGAAAATGCAAAAGAGCAAATGATGCTTTGAATAAAAATATTATTATTGACTTTTCAGTCAGTGGTAGGTTTTCGCAAATTGCGGTTGCGCTTTTTTAAAAAACAATATATAAAAGAGAAAAAGAAAAGATAGATAAAAATATAAAGATTAAAGGGACTACCAAGTCCCAAGACATGTTATGTTCATATTAAAGAGAATGTTAAAAAAACGTTTGAGCAAATAT